GTTGGGTTGCTAGGCAACCTACAGATGCCCACAAACTCTAGGTAGGACAAAACAGCTTCAAAACTGTGCTCTGTATTACAAACATAAGATCAGCTGATGTGATTGGTGTTAGTCCTGCATGAACCAGCACTACACTCGACATTCTGATGTTTTTCAAGTGAATCCACAGTTTCCACAGTCTGATAACTTGTGCTGCAAAGTCAACGAAGGCGATTTTAGAGTACTTCATTATTCCATCTGCTAAGACATTTTATAGAAATGCTAATTTCACTTCCCAGCAGCACTTAGCACCTCCCCACAGTGCCAAAACTAGTACCAAATGGTTTGCCAACCATGTTATTACTGTGCTCGGTTAGCGTAAACCCCACACAGAATCTGTGAAGTATTTTCAAGAGGAAGATCCACCCGACAAGCTGAAGGCAGCTGTCAAAGCAACCTGGGCTTCAGTAACACCTCAGCAGGGCCAAAAGCTGATCGCCTCCATACAGTAATATGTGGTAAGGAGGAGGCCCAGCCAAGTACTGTGAACGTATCAGTGATCATATGCTTGAGAAGTGGGACATTTCTGCCATAACCACCAAAACAAAAACTGTAACCCAGAGCGAATGCTAGCACACTGACGTGACGTGTTTGTGCATCACCTGATGTCTCTGTCCGCAGTGCTCACATTCTGGTCCAACCGGTGGCCCGGTGGCAGCAGAATACTTCATGCTGAAATCAAACAGACATCGACTTTACCGCACGCAGTGATCATCAAGTAACACAGAGGGGTTCTCCGAACAGCAAACCTCACATTTAATAGTAAAGCATTTAGCCAAACGTATCCATCCATGGCTCCTTGAAGTCAACCTTTTGATTGAGTTCAACCTAAGATTTTTACATCCAAAAAGAAACAGAAACACCATAAACTGAGGACTTTATTTCAAGCCGCCAGTTCACTGATGAGCACACCTCGACTGAACCATCACACACAGAACCTCATTAGAAGCAGCAGCAGAGTGTTTAGTGTCTCACTGTTTTCCGTTGCTTGTTCTCCTGCCCATTCTCTGCAAGTGGAAAGCCCCGCAGCCGACACAGTTGTACACCAGCGCCTGCTTACTGCAACAAAGAGAGACGGGACTCAACTGCAGTGTCATTTTGTGTTTCAATACTGAGCACATCAGTCATAATATCATCTTTTAGTGTCACGTACCCAGATTTCTATTATTCTATTAGCACTTTACTTTTACCCTCACAAATCCCCCTGCTGCTGTTACTTTGTGCATTTGTTCCTGCAGTGACCCAGTTTCAGGATCATTCATCTTTCATCACACAGGATAGATCAGCCTTTGTTAGCAGACAGTGCGTGCGTGTGTGTGAGCGAGCACCTGGCTGAGTTTTTGACTGTAGCCTGTCCTGTGAAGACGCGGACGAAGACTCGAATGTAAAAGTCGACGCTGACGGACAGCAGGGGCTGGATGTATCGCTGGTACACTCCTGCCCTCTGGTCCAAACTGTGCAGGATGATACGCAGAGCCTGGAGTTCAAAGATGGAGAGAGGCAC